CAATCCATAAACCAAATGTATGTCTACAGGTGTAATTTCAATCTCTTGGTTCCTCTCAAGAACTAAAGACACCCTATCACAGTCAAAACTCGACACAAGCTTAGAGCAAAATACAGATTTATGTGCATCTAAATCCAAATCTAAGAAACCTCCAAAGCCAATTTTTCTAATAGCCGCCTTATGAGATTTTGGCAAATCTTTAAGCACGGTGTTCATAAAATTCTTGGGAGTAATTCGTTGACTTAATGCTCTACATTCCATTTGATCTGCATGAACAACTTCAATATCATCATCAGAATCACTCTCATCAACCTTTCTTTTCCTTTTTTTCCCTCTGCCTTCCTTCTTTGATTCTTTCTTCATTGCTTTGTTTTTCGGAACATCTTTAGCTCTAACTTTAAGTTTCCCCTTAATTTTATCACCTTCTTTATTATCTACATTGGTACTCTTGTTTGCATTTCCAGAAGATGTTGTAGCAAACTGATTAGAGGTTGTAGCACCATCAACACCAACAAGATTATCACTGCAAGTCATAGACATAAAACATATATAAAGCTTAGAAAACAAGGGAATAATTAAAAAAGAACATATGTGTAATAATTTAGAACATTTGTACAAAAATTTAGAACATATGAGTAAAAAATATAGACATAAACTTGTAGCAAAAATTAACAATTGAACTATAATGTATACATACTGCAATACTGAACAAAATTCAAGAGGAAAACATAAAAATGTGAGTAAAATAAGAGTTAAAATTCATTTTTCAACTCCTGTATCCTCCTAATACTACTCTTCCAGGCCAGTTTCATATAAATTATCTTGTATATTCTCAATATATCATTTTTGATGTTTTTATCTGATTTGCTTGAAGATTACATAGCACTTTAAATTCACATTGAAGCTGCTGCTGCAGGTGGCTACTGCTGCCAGCCGAGGCTGCTCCTGGCAAGGCTGCAGCTGCTGTTGCCAGCCGAGACTGCTCCTGGCAAGGCTACAGCTGCTGCTGCCAGCCGAGGCTGCTCCTAGCAAGGCTGCAGTTGCTGCCTGCCTGCCGAGGCTGCAGCTGGCAAGGCTGTAGCTGCTGCTGCCCTGCCAAACTGCTGCAAGCTAGGCATGTACACCTGTTTGTCACATCCTTCACAGGTAACAATAACACATATTTATATATAAAAAATGTACATATTTTACTGGTACATTTGGTGTTTTAGAAGTTGTACTGTATGTTCTTGATTGCTAAGGATATATGTAAATGCTATTTACTTGTGATTTGTAAATTTCAGATTAGCATTTTATCGAACAGGTTATAAGCATCCAAAAATGATTTGTAAAAACCTAACAAATTTGACACCCTAATACTGTATATGCTTAAGAAATTCGAGCCAAACCCTCCCAAATCGAGCAAAACTGAGCCCTAATTTTTGTGTTCAAACATGATAATTTAAAAATTAAACCAAAATCAAATAATTAAACCCTAATAAAATCGCTACTTACTGATTTGATGGACAAATGGCTTGTATTGGAGATTTATCCATACATTGTGAATCGATTGATCTACAAAAAAATTAACAAAAATTAACAATAAAAAGAGGAGAAAAATGTGAAAAAATACAATCAAAATTCATAAACATAAACTTATTACCTTCTTTCATAAGTAACAATTGGAGATGTTGGTAGAATTTGATTCGAATCCATATTCTGATTCACGAAGTAGCATGCATGAACTAGGGTTTAGAGAGTGGATGAAATTTAGAGAGAGAAAAACCTAATTTTAGAGAGAGAAAAAAATCAGTGAAAGTGAAAAAGAGAAGGGGGTATATCAGCAAACAAAATTACAATTTTGCCATTACTGTAGAATGTTTTGGGCGGTTAGATTGAATCTAATCTACGGCTAAGATGTATTCTCATATAAGTGAGTTTCTCATATAAGACCTAAATTCTCATAAGAGCCTTCCCCTATATATATATATATATATATATATATATATATATATATATATATATATATATATATATATATATATATATGTAAAGGGAGTTTTTTTTTACCGAGCTTTTAGAGAGCCATGTAAGATTTAATTTTTTTAGCGCGCCATGTAGGAATATAAATTTTAGTTGTAGCCAATTAAATAAGATATTATTATTTTCTTTTAGAATTAAATAATTCAAATGACACATAAGCAAAATTGGCGAATCAGATTTTTAAGTTTAATCTAATTTATAATATAAACTATTATCTTTTGATTTTAGGAATTTTATCTAAATATGTAATAAATTTAGCACATAAATAAAAAAAATATTTTAAGAAATTCAAATAAACCGTGCATCACACGAGCTTCATCTAGCAAGTATTTAAAAACGGTCGAAAAAAAAAGTGAAGCAAATATTTAAATACAGAGGGAGTAGATTATTATACTACGTAATAGATTGTGTCTTTGTTGAGGGGCAAAAGTGCAATATCCTAAATCCTAATACTCATATTCAAATGTCTCATTCTATTTTAGGGCACCGTCCCATTTTTGCTAATTCATAAATATCTTCCTACCGATGACGTGGACTTTGTTGCGTGGCTCATCAGGAGATTAGATATTTTCTCCGAAAATATCCTTTTTTACACGTGGTTGTCACTACACACACCGTGGACTGCTTTTTTCCCACTTTACCCTCTACCTTTTCTTTTAATTACTCTTTTAACATGTAGTCTATGTTCCTTCAAATATCTAACCTTTTAACTTGTGATATTCATAAAGATCTAAGTACAATTCTACAAGTGCTTGATTATTACAGTACATTATCACAATATACACTTTTTTTTCCTTGCTTAATTCTCAACAAAATATCAACTTTACTACCTTTACTTCCTCTCACGGTAATTTTCTAATTACACAACCCCATTTTCTACTAAGTACCTTTTATATTTAACTAGATGAATCCCGTGCGATGCACGATTTGTTTGATTTTTTTTAAATAATGTTTTGTTTTATATTTATGAGCCTGAAATTTGTTATATATTTAGATAAAATTCCTAATATTAAAAGATAATATATAATATTTAATTAACTTAAACTTAAAAATCTCATTCGCCAATTTTGCTTACATGGCATTTAAATTATTTAATTCTAAAAGAAATTAATAATCTCTTATTTAATTGGCTACTACTAAGATTTATAATCCTACATGGCGCGCCGAGAAAATCAGATCCTACGTGGCTCTCTAAAAACTCGGGAAAAAACTCCCCTTTATATATATATATTAGATTTTGTCTAGAGCTATGAGTCTGTTCACATTTACTGAACTGAGCTGAAATGAAATGAAATGAACTAAACTGATTGGAGCTGAACTGAACTGAACTAAGCTGTAATGAATATTTTATGAGAGAGGGAAATTAGGAGTTGAACTGAACTGAGCTGCTGATTGAAGCTGAACTGAATTGAAATTAAATAAATGTGAACAGACCCTATGTATCTATCAAAGTATAACACTTTAAAAAAAAATTAAAAAAAAAACAAAAAAAAAACTTTTTCAGAAATAATATACTATGATATATGCGTCAATTAAATTCTAATAAATAAAAGATAAAATAGTATCCATTGCGATATTGTAGGCAAATCACCATGCATGTCACATGATACAAATACGATCATCCATGTTGCTTAAATGTTAAGGTTTAGAACCACATGCACAAAAATCATGAGAATTAATCATCATAAAATGCAAATATTAAAAAATCTTTGACCTGAAATAAGTGATTTGGGCTTATAATAATCACAGTAGTATTAAACATTGATTTTAAAAAAAATGAAGATTATTGCTCCATTCTTCCCTAAATCATAAAAAATAGTTGAACACAATATATTGGAGTAAATGTATACTCCATAGTGTCCGTACTCCATCGAATATATAATGTATGGAATTCTTTCATAAATAAGAAAATGGGAATTTAATTTTGAATAGTACAAGGACTACAAGCTAAAGAGATCGAGGTAAAAAAATTTTTGGGGAGGGGGGAGTTTTAATTCAATTCTCATGTAGCCGATTAGCCAAACCACATGGGTGGTAGGTTGTTAGCATACATATATACCAAGTTGTTTTAGAGGATGTGTAAAATGTCTAGACAATCTACCAATTTGTGGGTTTCATTTTGATACTCCCTCCATTCTTTTTTTGCTCCATAGAGATAATGTTACTTTATTAATTTTTCGTTGGAAAAAATGATGAGAGAAAAAAGTGGTGGGATTAATGAAGTGGTTGTTAGGTATGATCCTATAAACCTAAAAATAGATGCGAAAAATCAAGAGACACACTTAAAAAGAAATTGGGATAAAAAAGCGATGAAAAGGTATATATAAAGTATTTTGACGGTGTTTTTAATAATACACAATAAGTATATCAACGGTTAATTATAGGCATTAGAGAACACGTAGAATACGTGTTAATCTTTGTTTGTTTCAATTTATGTTGTTTAAATTTTCCAAACAAAAAAAATTTATGTTGTCATAGTTTATTTGAAATTATCTAAACTTATATCTTATAAAAGAAAAACACTTATTTTATTCTACTGAAAAATACGTAGTATCTTGTTTGTAAGACCACATGATTGTTATACATCTTCCGTTTTTATTTTCCGTTGCATCATTATTCTAAAATGGAAAATTTAAATTAGTTGCATCACTTATCCTTTTTACTCCATAGTTAATAAATTCTCTCTCTATCTCTCTCCTATCACATGACTCCATTTTTTATTATTTCATCTCCAAAAATTGTCGACAAGTTCGCAATTTGCAAAGTAATGCAACTAAAAAAACGAAGGATATATTAAAAAGTTAGTCACTATATTAGAGATGCCAGATATATTTTTCGATATCTCATACTCCGTACAAAGTATCTCGTTTTTAAAAGATTTAAATGCTCATATGTATTTTCCGATATTTCATATATTTAACACACTAAAACATTATAAATAAATATCTCACCAAAGCAAGTCATTTCCACACTACCTAAAAATAATAATGCCAAATCAAAGAAAAAACAGTTGGTTAGGCATTGTTGTAAATATCTCACCAAAGCTGGTCATTTCCACAAACACATTTGTCAACATATACTCTAAAAGATACAATTACAACTACAACTCCAAAAAAGGCCATAACTTCTCTTCTCCATACCCACCTAGAGAGAGAAACACAAATAATCCATATTTTTTAGAGAGAGAAACACAACACACAACACACAACAAGATGATGCATAATCATCTGGCTATGTTGGAAGACTCTGATGGACAACCACAATCACCCAATAATCGCTCTGCAAAAAAACCCAGAAAATTTACCCAGAAAATCAAACAACAAGATGATGAAGATGAAGATTATTTGTATAATAACTATTATTATTTTACACCACCAACACCATCTTCAATTGTTGTGTGTGATGCGCTTGAATTTGAATTTCCCATCATCTATGTTAATACCACTTTCGAGATCTTTACTGGCTATCGTGCTAATGAAGTTCTTGGCCACAATTGGTGAGTTTTTTTTGGATGCTTTTATATTTGTATATATACTCTTGATTTAGTAATTTTGATAGTGGATTTTAAATTTCTTAGATTTATTTTATGGGATAGTTATGAATTTTATTTTTATATTAATGTATTAGCTGGTGGTTATTTGATTGCATGATTTATTTAGTTGGGGTTAATTTGATTATTTGTTGTATTATGCGCTGTGTATTATGCTGAAATTTAGTGTTTTATGTTTCAAATGGAAAGTATTTTAAATATGGAAAATGCAGGGGAAGATATTTCTCTGTGTCTGTGTTTTTTTTGAATTTATTATTATTTAAGTTTGGATTGATAAATTTAGTTATAGGCAGCTAGTAAAAAAAAGTTAGAACTTCATCTTATTTTTTTTGAATTAAATTTTTTTTTACTAAAATAAAATTATATTTGCTGAAATTAAATTATTTTTACTAAACTTAAATTATTTTCGCTGTACTGAAATTATTTGATTGATTTTCTATTATAATTTTTCTTTAAGATAACTGAATTTTACTTAACTGAATTTTACTTAACTAAACTTATTTTTACGGGAGTGAAATTAATTTTACGGAAGTGAACTTATTTTTACTTAATTGATATTATTTTTAGTTAATATTAATTTTTTAAGGTGAAATTAACAGGCCTACAGTAAATTTTTTTTATTTTTTTTTTATTGTAGTACAAATATTAACTAGTAACTTTATACGAAGTAATAAAAAAAATACGCTAGTGAATCTGTAAAAATTTCGTACTTGCAATTAGTCTATTTTCATTAGGGCTGTACACAGTTTGGTCTGGACCGTAACCAAACCAGGTTTGGTTTGGTTTACGGTTTGGAAAAATTTGGTTTGGTTTCGGTTTTTTGGGAAATACGGTTTGCGGTTTGGTTTGGTTTTTCAAAAATTATAAACCAAACCGTAAACCAGTAAACCGCATTTTAATATTTATATAATTTTTAAATTAATTATAATAGTTATTACATATTATAAAAAAAATAAAAAAAAAACATGAAAAATCATTAGAGGACTATACGGTCAATATACTACTATACTCAATCTCAAATATCAATACTTAAAATTCAATAGGTCATATAACTATAATGCAGTATGAATGATTTTTTTGGACAAATGTATTATGTTTTTTTCCACTGTTAATTTGTTATGTATAATTTTTATTATGTGTTAGCACTTAGCACTTGATTAGTTGGTTGTTATTTTTATTAAAAATTTGTAGTAGAATTTAATCCCTTAAGGCTAATTATTTGAATTTTATTATAAATTTATTAATATTTGACATTTTTTAGGAAAAAATGCCGTCTCATCATAAACCGCAAACCAAACCGCACCAAACTGCATTATTACGGTTTGGTTTGGTTTGGTTTGGTTTCAATACTAATATGGTTTGGTTTGGTTTGGAAAATTGACCAAACCGTATTTTGCGGTTTGGTTTGGTTTAGACTCAAACCACACCAAACCAGACCATGTTCACCCCTAATTTTCATTTTAATGAGTAAAAATAATTTCAATTTTGTGAAAATCATTATAAGACCTTGTAAAATATAATTTTAGTTTAGTAAAAATAATGTAAGTTCAACAAAATTAATATTTCAGAGAACAAGTTCTGACATTAGTGATTAGGCAAAGGTTAAGGTCTTTGTTATAGGATTGAGTTCCTTTTACGGAGTACATCATAGCTATTGTGGCTCTCTTTATGAAAAGAAACACATTTGATGATATTCTAGGCAGTAATTAAATGAGTACTCTCTATTATCTCAAGCTAGTTAGCTAGAAGTCTTAAAGTGAATTACTCCGCATATTGCTAGACAGTGAAATTATTTTTTTTGTAGTAATTATAGTTATTATATTAGGATTAACAAATGCTCTGCTTTAGACTTGTTTGATCATGTGAACTTAAATTGAGGACACAGTTACATGATGATTTGCTTTCCTTTATATGAATTTCACCATAAATTTGAAAAGGGGGGGTGTTTTATGAGATTATTCTGAACGATTGTCGTTTCATACAAAACAAATCTGCCCAGTTTGGTGAAATCTTTTACGCTAGCAATGCTCAGAGTCCTTACCTTAGTACTGGTGGCTTCCTGCTTATTTAAGTCAAGTTAAAACAATAGGTTTTGTTGCAGGAGATTCAACATTGTCTTTCAATCTGAAAATGTCATGAGCTATGTTATTACAACATCATTAGCTTAATTATGTAAAGAACATTTTGTTGCTGCAAGGCTTGCAACTGCTTGGTAAAGTTGGATGTCAGTATGTCATTCTCGTTCTTGCTCTTTTAATCTTTTATCCTATCACGTACTTTATCTGCTATGTTTTCTGTATGTATTGTATTGCTTGTCCACAGCTCCATTCAGATTATTATCATTCTTGTGCTATTTTTTCCCCTTGGTATGATGTTCTTGCCCAAAGTTGCTAGAGATTGCACTGATTCCTTGCAACTATTTCCAGTCGTTTTTTACAGTACAGGGACCCTCATGCTCAAAGAAGGCATCCTCTGGTGGATCCTGTTGTCGTTTCTGAGATGAGAAGATGTCTTGAAGACGGTGTAGAGTTCCAAGGGGAGCTTCTCAATTTCAGAAAGGATGGCACTCCCCTGGTTAACAGGCTGAGGCTTCAACCAATATATGATGACGATGGAATTGTCACGCATGTCATAGGCATTCAGATTTTCTCAGAAGCAAAGATAAACCTTAACCATGTATCTTATCCAGTTTTCAAACAGATGTATGACCAGAAATTCAAGTGTGTAAATGAGCATTCCACAAAGGTTGAAGAAACCTGCGGTATTCTCCAACTTTCCGATGAGGTCTTGGCTTATAACATATTATCACGCTTGACTCCAAGAGATGTAGCTTCAATTGGATCTGTTTGTAAAAGGATATACCAGCTGACAAAAAACGAGCATGTCAGAAAGATGGTTTGTCAAAATCTATGGGGTAGAGAAGTGACATATAATTTGGAGCGAATGACGAAAAACTTGGGGTGGGTTCGATTGGCAAGGGAACTCACCACTCTCGAGGCAGTTTCTTGGAGGAAGTTTACTGTAGGGGGATCAGTTGAGCCTTCGCGCTGTAATTTTAGTGCATGTGCCGCTGGAAATCGTCTTGTACTCTTTGGTGGTGAGGGTGTTGGAATGCAGCCTATGGATGACACTTTTGTACTCAACCTTGACTCTGAGCATCCAGAGTGGCGCCGTGTGAGTGTCAAGTCCTCACCTCCTGGACGATGGGGTCACACACTCTCGTGCCTTAATGAGTCCTGGCTTGTTGTATTTGGAGGGTGTGGGAGGCAAGGATTGCTCAATGATGTCTTCATCCTTGACCTAGATGCCAAGCAGCCAACTTGGACTGAAATCTCTGGTGGGACTCCCCCAGTCCGTCGGTCCTGGCATAGTTCTTGTACTGTAGATGGCTCCAAGTTGGTTGTATCTGGGGGATGCACGGATTCTGGGGTGCTCCTTAGTGATACATACTTGCTCGACCTTACAACAGATAGGCCAGTTTGGACGGAGATTCCTACTTCCTGGGCCCCACCTTCGAGGCTTGGTCACTCACTTTCCGTTTATGGGAAGAAAAATTTATTCATGTTTGGGGGACTGGTGAAAAGTGGGCAGTTGAGGCTACGGTCTGGTGAGGCCTATACCATTGACATAGAGACCGAAAACCCTCGATGGAGGGAATTAGAGTGTGGTGCACTGGCTGGTACGGGAAGCCAAGGTGCGGTGGTTCCTCCTCCAAGACTTGATCATGTAGCTGTGAGCATGCCATGTGGCAGGATCATTATATTTGGTGGTTCGATTGCTAACCTGCATTCTCCTTCTCAGCTTTTTCTGTTGGATCCATCAGAGGAAAAGCCGTCATGGAGGACTCTTAATGTTCCTGGGCAGCCGCCTAAGTTTGCATGGGGTCACAGTACATGTGTCGTTGGTGGAACCCGAGTTTTGGTGTTAGGTGGGCATACAGGTGAAGAATGGATACTGAATGAGTTGCATGAACTGTGTTTGGCCAGCAAGCATGACTCTGACCTCTGAACCTTTTCATCATGCTGCATCCCTCTTCAGTAATGATGTGAGGGTTTATTATATACTGGGAAGCTGCTATCCTTTGTATTTATGCTCTGAAGTTTCTATTGTGTGTTACATTCCAATTGCAGTTGCTGTTGTAGTAATGCACGAAAATTTTGTTGTATCATTGTATATTAGCACCACAATCTTTATCCTTGTAGTTTCCTGATTTTTATACGATTGGCATCCTTGTGTTGGACCTTTTCAGTATTCTGTGTGACTTGATACCGATTATGAGGCCGGGTTGTCAAGATGCTTTCACACAAAGGAGCTCAAGATGATTGTTATATTGTGTATTGGTGGCAGTAGTGACTCGGTTGATTTGGGTGCTGTGGCCAGATCAGGGACCGGTACTTGTGTTGAAGTAGCTTTGGTACAGCTTGCTCAGTGCAATTTTGTTGCCTCCTTTAAAGTTTCGAGTCAGTATGTTCTTAGCCATAATTTGGCCCTGTGTTCCTTTTCTTTTTCATATTTATCTGTTTCAGTTGAGCTAGTCTTAATCGAGAATCACATGAGGACAGTAGAATTGTATGCTACATGAATTTATATTCAAGTGAAGGAGGAGAAGCTAAGGCTTCTATTTGTGAGGCTATACTATTTAATATACTACGTATTTGTGTTGTAATTTGTTTGAAACCTAAAAGTGTGTGATTTTCACCTTTACACTATGTTGGATAGAGAGAAATGGAGGGAAAGAAAGAAAAGAAAAAAAAGGAGCGATGCACCTTCCTTTAGTTGGATATTTAATGCAAGTAGGGAAGGCGAGAGGATGAGAAAGATTCATATAAGGTGCCAATAAAATTGAGTCATGCTATCTGTATTTGTTTGGAAGTTTTTGGGACTTCTCCCAGCTATAACCTACATTCAAAACTACATTGCGAATTATATTATGGCTCTTCAAAACTCAATTAAGGTTTTCTTTTATTGAAGATATTGATTAGTTCCACACGCCCACCAATCAATGTTGCTTGTTAGTTTGATATTGTAATTTGAATTGGTAATGTGACAACTACATCCGGCTGTAGTCAGTGAGGTCTGCGACAGTAAAAAAACACTTGATCTCAAACTTTGGTGGTTATTCATCATCACTGAGTGTTATTAGTTCTCTGTTCAGCATTACCTACAGCTGCCCTGTCTCTTGCTTTGATAGCCTGCAAACATTTTTGACTGTTTCAGCTCACTAACAAGCACAATGTGTATAAAAATATAAGAAAATTGCAAAAGAATTTATGGTTAGACCTGTTTTTGCCAGTTTGTAAGAGCCGCAACTATGATCAGCAATATCGATTGCAAGATTGACCCTACCAATATACCAATCCATAGACCCTTTGCATTCAAATGGCGAACAAAAGCAAGCACTACTGCTACTGGGATTCCTACTATGTAAAATGCTCCTAGGTTCACATATGCTCCTATACGCTGCCATCCACTTCCTTTTGCAACTCCTGCATCGTGTTTTTGCATTTCAGAATTTAGTATCAGTTAGTTTTGCTAGCTACATATAAGTAATTATGGATATTAGGCTATTAGTATAGGAAAGTTTAACCTCAATAATAATAAACACTGTTGTGATTAGCCTTATGAAACAATATTAAGCTTTTGTGAACTACTTACCAGAAAGGACCATTTGTAGGCCATCAGTGATGATGGAAAGGCAAAGGAAGGGGGCCAATGTTGCAACATAACTCACAACTTGTTCGGTATGACTATAAGCGTATCCCACTATATGTCGAACACAAAACAAAATCACACCTGCTACAAAGGTCTCTATTACAACTGCACTTGTCACAACCCAGGCAGATAGCCTTGCTGCTTCTGCATTTCCTGCACCTAGCTCATTTGCCACTCTTATGCTGCAAAAATATCATTATAAACTTCTAACAATCATGTTGGATGCAGTGTGAAGATATGGATAGCGAAAGAGTTGTTATGAGGGCAAGAGAATTACCCTACTGAAACACCTAATCCGACTGGAACTGTGAAAAGTAATGTTGATATGTTGAGACTGCCAATAAAGATAATAGTACTCCCTTGTTTCGAAAAAGATTGTCCATTTTGCAAATTGTGACGTGAGTCACAGTTTACGAAATGGATAATTTCTTTCGGATGGTGGGAGTAACCACGAAGTTAAGTTAGATGTACTACGGAGTATTGAAAATGTACTGGAATAGTCAGCAATTTGGACTACTCTGCTACTGAAAGCACAAGTGCACAAGCATATGTACTATAAAGTATTGACATACCATATGGAAAGCACTGATGTCTCAAGTTGTGGATTGGGAAGGCGACCTGAAAGCAACACCACAGCTTCAAAAGCCCACCACTTGAGGCTGTTGTTGGCGTTAACATGTTACATGACATGAGCATATGACAGTTAGAAATCAATCAAGGATAACATTCCACTTTGACAATTCCGACGTATCACATTTTTCACAAGAAAAATCTGTTCACTTGATTGATTAGGTAACTAAAAGGGATATAATGATATTTGTACCCTTAGACTTTATTTGGCATATTGTGGTAAGGAAGTAGGCACTAGGGAGCTGCATACCAACATTTGGTCTCCTAATAGTTGCCTAACAATTAGCTTAACTCATCAACATAATTTGAGAACTATAGATTAAGGAAATTTACCAAATCATCAAAGCAGCAGGGAAGCCAAACCGAAGAAAAGGCCAAATATTATAGAAAGCTTCTTTGGAGAAGTGGGTACGAGTTTTTTCACAAACAGAAGAACACTTGATGTAAATCCCAAGAAACATAACGTTAAGCCAACCGCAAAGACTAAGAGAGAAGGCAACTGATTGAATTCCATAATTCAATTTATAGACAGAAATCCAGCATGATAAAGTGGTTATACCAAGAACAACTGCAAAATTCATTAGCAGAGGGAAAACAAGACTTTGGCATTGTAAAAATCGAACCAAGGGATCGTAGAAAGCGCTTGCTACGAGTCCTGGGATTAGCCAAACTGCAAATTTTTGTGCTTCAACTGAGATTTGATGATCTTGCCCTATCAGAATCAGTACTTTGTCCATGAAAATCCATAATAGGCTTATAGGAACGCAAATAAAAAGCAGAGATATAATTGCACTGTAAATGTATGTTCCAATTTTTTCGTATTGCTTTGCTCCATATGCTTGCCCACATAGTGTATCCAACCCACCACATAGTCCAATCTGCCAATCAATTATAGAATGCAAGAATAAATCGCATATTATTAACTTAATCAACTCTTATAATTGATGACACTAATTGTGCTAGTCGTGAGTATAGTAATTTAAGGTGACTTGTTATATTGTTGAGAAGTGACTTTTATAACGTGTCCACGCACCTTTAACTTGCATTATTATATTGCTTAGGGGATGACTTTATATTATCTTAAAGAGACTTGTTGCGAATGCATCCCAATAAGATATAATCTATGTTACGAGTACATATACTCAATTCGTCTTGTGTTAGTTTTTAAAATTTAAAGAAGGTAAAGAAGAGGCATACAACTTACAAAAAGACTAAAGCCGGAGATGTTGGTAACAGAGAGGGCAATGGAAACACTAGCCAAAGGAAGTTCACCAAGACGTCCGACAATCATCAACGCCACGACTTGCACCATATATTGGAGTATTGCCACTGTTATCATTGGTGCTGCAAGCAGACTCACTTTCTTTACCTCTTTAATCAATCTTTTCCATGTGAAAAGATTACTAGCTTCGTCGATCCCTGGATCTGGTGCTCCTGACTCCATTATAACCCTGTGCAAATTTTATAACTTGAAATGTGAAAAATATTAGTCTGATTTCTGAATACAAAAAGTGTACACACTGAGAGACATAACACATTAAATCCGAATAATGGACATTTTGAACAAAACTACCTTCATTAGCTAATAAATCGAATATTTTAAATAGCTAGCAAGTAATTAAAATCTCTCTAGTCTTACAACCCAATATTTAAAAAATGAAAAGCAAACCATAAAACATGAAAGTATATCAAATTGACTAAAAAATAAAATGGAACCTTAGAAGCCCGACAGATTGAAAATGAAGAAGAAGCAATCAAAGAGAATATATGTGTGCAAATGCACTCTATTAGTTATATTTAATGTGATTATGTGAATCAATTTTGTTGTGATTCTGACATTAAATATGGCATAGGTGTGGTAATGGCCTCTCTAAGAGATTTGAAAGATTGTCAAAGTACACTTGAAAACATAGTTATTGTCATGTCTTTTGTTTATTTCTTGGGTGAATCTATTATTATATTTTAATCTCTACAGCTACTCCGTATTGCTTTATTATAGCTGCTTAATTATACCGAGAGGATTAAAAAATGATGGTATATTAATATTATAACAAAGGATATCTTTATTATAAGCCAAGGGGGATAGAGTGAAAAGTTAGTGTCCGATTTTTGAACTCCCCAAAATCCCAAATTGCCTCTACTACTATTAGTATAGCAAAATATTCAAATAAATTTGCCAAATTACGCCAATTTCTAAAATTTTAAATGTATATTATTGTTATTATTATTATGCCACAAGTTTGATTTGAATTTAATCCGTAAAGTTAATATTTTTTTTTTGGTTAAAGTGGTAGAAAAGCTAGATTAAGGATGCTTCGAATGAGCTAAGTTACAATTATTACAGACCATAGAGTTAGGAGTTAAAAGATATATAGTATAGAAATAGAGATAACTAATTCAAGAAGTCACTTAAATAGTTAAATGTTACATTGTTACCCGTACTATAGGTTAGTGTTGGATTTCGGGAAAACTCCTCAATCTGGAGTGTGTACCATTGATCAATATTAGAGGTGTCAAAAACCGACCCGAATTGGTGAATTCGAACCGTTTTGAATAGTTCCAAAAAGGAACCGAACCGCTAAGAACATGTTATTTTAAAACCATAAACCGACACGACCCAATTTTTTAAAACCTGAAACTGAACCGATCCGAATGTTTGAGAACCGTTAATGAACCGTACCCGATATCAAGCCAAACTGATACAACCCGAAACCGAGAACAACCCGAACCGAGTACTTTTGAACCCGATAGCAACCCGACCCATTGTAAACCGAAACCGTTTAAACCCGACAAAAACCCAATAAACCCAAATCGTTTATAACCTGTAACTGGTTAGGATTGAACCGTTTATAACCCGTAATAAGTTATGATGGAACCGTTTACAACCTGTAATCGGTTAATCGAACCGTTTATAATTCGTAAGTCCTTAACCCGTTATGACCGTAGAATTTTTTTTTTTTTGGGTATATTTTATCAATAGTAAAACAAAAGGGTTTAATTTGAATTATAAAATATTTATATTGAAAAGGTTTGGAATTTTGATGTCATTGAAACTCTTATGCTACAATATTATCGTCCACTAACGAGTAATGGCTTATGGAACACTATATTGTATTAAAAAATATTAAAAATCTAAACCAAAAGCTAACTCTAGATTTGTTATTATTATTTGATCCTTAAAATCATTATACAAAAAAGGGACATAAAACTAAACAATTAATTAATACTCGGTATGATCAACTCAAATAACTAATTAAAGAATATTGAGGATATACTAGATGATATAAGTAAACGAAACCCGTTTAAAACTGGCAAAACTAGTTGTCAAACCGACTAAGTTCAACTCGAACCGATTACAACCCGATATGTGTTGACCCAAAACCCGCTTTAAACTGACAAACTCCATTTTTAAACCGACCAAATTTAACCCAAACCGATTATGACCCGAACCAATTATAACCCGACCCGATTAGAATCCGACCCAAAAAGAAACTGTAATAAAATAAACCAAACCGAACTGACCCGTGTTAATAATTCCAACCCGTTACAAACCAAAAATTGATAAACCGAACCCAAAACTGAATCGAAAACCCGATTGACACCCCTAATCAATATACTACCTCCGTTTTAAGTTAATTGCAACTTTGAGCTTGAAACGGATTCTAAGACAAAATTTCATAATGGTTCATTAATGAATTAAAGTGTAGTAAATTAAGGGTAGGAGAGGGAAAGTGGAGGTAATTAAAAAGATGACCAACAACAACAACATCAGCCACACGACAACCAACGTTCCACTGCAGCCACCTTTAGACCACCTATCTCATAGCCTGAAACCACCTGCTCTAAGGCCGAACCACCCAGACGCACCCCGAACAACCCTAAGACCACCACCTATTACCCCGAGCAACCCCAAAGTCATCACCTCTCAGCCCAAAACCACCCATTTCAAGTCGACCACCTACTTACAACCCTAAAACCACCCCCGCAGCGCGAACAATCCAAAATCACCTCATCTCAACCCAAACGACTCAAAACCACCACCTCTCAACTCTAACCATATCGACACCAACTCCTCATAGCCGAACCTCCCTAAATCCACCAACACTCGCCATAAACCACCACCCTCAATCAGCCCCACGATTACCCACACTCACCCTAAACCAACCCAAGCCAAAACTACCCTTCCTCACCTTGAATCCCACCAAACCATCCACAAACAACCCCAAACTAGCCCAATTTCCCCTCAAACCATCACATCTACACTATTAAAAGAGAGAGAGAGAGAGAGAGAGAGAGAGAGAGAGAGAGAGAGAGAGAGGAGTGAGTAAGGAACACTGGAGGAGTAGGCTGCGACTTTGAATATGGTGATGAGCAGCGACAGCGTTGACGGTGGTGGTGGATGCAGCAGTGAGCCATTGACGGTGACAATGGTGGTTAGATGCGGCGGCGACGATGATGAGAAGGTCGTGTTATGAAATTCTTGGTAGTCGAATGATTTTTGGAATTGAATTTTTTTTTTTTTAATTTATGTGTTAGGTGAGTTAAATTAGGTGAAAATATTATGTTAATAAGTTAGATGAGGAATGTAATGAAATCTGATTTAGATAGTTAATTGTGTTTATAAGTTCTTTAGTAAGGGTATGTTTGTACTTTTATTTAAAAAAACTTACTAAAATAGGAAAAAATGGAAAGTTGCAACTAATATGTAGCACCCCATTTTGGAAAAAGTTGCAACTAATATGTAACGGAGGTAGTATATAGAGTCTTACAAAAAATATCGTAAACCTAGTACGATAAGGATACAGAATATATACAATATTTTCCTATTCTGTGACAATTATTATCATGACTGTTAATGTCAATCACACCCCTGCAGTAGTAGCGGGAGGAGGTCGTACGCTAAGACTGGATCTAAAATCCAAAAATAAGTCTCGTGGCAAGCCTTTCGTGAAAATGTCCGCAAACTGATATCTAGAAGGAACATACAGAACTCGAACTTGACCCAAATTAAAGCAACCTTTTCTCGAACAAAATGAATATTCATCTCCATATGTTTGGTGCGTTAATGTTGGGCCGGGTTGCCAGAAAGGTAGATAGCGTTGACATTATCACAATAAACAATAGTGATCTGTCAAAGAGGACAATGTAACTCAAGTAACAGATTAAGGAGCCAACAAGCCTCAAAGACAACATTTGCGACGCCTCAATATTCTGCTTCTACACACGATTTAGATAAAGTATGTTGACGCTTAGATGATCAGGAAACGAGGTTGTCCTTAAGAAAGCAACAATAACCCGATGTGGAACAACGGGTATTGGGACAACCTCTCCAGTCAGCAGTCGGCTATAAATGTAAGCCGTGATCAATGGTACCCTGAACATAACACATAATGCGTTTCAAAGCATCATAATGAAATTCTCAGGGATCATGCATAAAAAGACACACTTGTTGTACCGTATATGCAATGTCTAGCCTGTTGAAAGTGAGGTACTGAAGAGCACCTACTAAACTTCGGTACAGAGTAGGATCCCGAAACGGTGATCTTGAATCGGCACTAAGTTTGGACTTAGTGTCAACTGGAGTAGCTGCAGGTTTACAAGAGCCCATACCTACACGCTCTAAGATCCCCTGTGCATACTTTTCATGTGAAAGCAGCAAATAAGAGGGAGTACAGGTGTAGACACCTAATTGTGCCTCCCAAAAAACCAAACCTAGTGATGAGTACCTTTCACGTCATATGATTATCGAACAAAGTGAGAGTGTGAAAAGTCTTATGATGCGTTATTTTAATAAAAATATTCTTTCTTTCTATTTTAAAAATGTACTCTATTTATGAAAAATGTCCAGTCCAATTCAGTTTGGTCTATGCATGATAAGGGTCTAATAATGGTGTAGTTGGATTGGGATCGAAAAGAGCTTTCCAACGATATATTATAATTAAGCCCAATTCCGATGAATAATGAGTAAGTTATGGCCAAAATACTAAATTCGGCGTGAAATGGTTTTATGGCCCAATGATCTAGTGGAGGCCCCATTAGTTAATATTCCTAAAGCTATTAGGATTGATTTTAATCTTCTAGAATAATCTAGAAAGTTATTTTGAGTTCTAATGAGATTAGGATTAATTATTATATCTTTTATGAAAATAAAGAATTCTATTTGGGTTAAAACAAGTGTTTTAAAGAGATTAAATATGATTTTCAAAGATAAGTACATACACTATTAATCGATTTTAATTAGATTAAGGATTTTGTACAGTTTTTTAGAAAACGCGTGAACCGACAAAGCTGGCGCGCCACGATAAGCCTGTCGCGTCGCGCTGGACCCTGTCGTTGTGCGACATGGGCAGTTTTATATTCTTAATAGGATTCAGTCTTTTTTCTGATTGTTTCTGAGCTATTTTTCTTATAAATAGGGTCGTATTTCCCTGTTTTTAATCATTCACAATCAACAATATTCTATTCTCT